CGTATATATATGTATATATATGTATATACGTATATATATATATATATATATATATATATATATACGCACACACACCTACAAAGTAACAACGTCTCGACAATACGCGTTTTTACAGTGCAGGAGCGAGCAAAAACGCATATTATGGAGAGGTCGTCCATGTGTGTGTGAACTTTGTGAACTTGGAAGCGAGTGAACTTTGTCATCCACTTTCAACTCAGCAACCAGAAAAGCTAGTAGACTGTAATTTTAGGACCATATCCTATTCCTTGTCCCGCCATCTCGCTCCCCCTTCCTCTTCCTGTCTTAAAATCTTCGCTCGTGCGCGTACGGGCCTCAGAATAAAATTTGCAATTTCTTTAGCAGGAAACGATTTCGTGATCCAGACAAGATAGAAAGTTGCAACTTTGCAGGGATATTCGCTATGCGTTAGATTTCAAATGCAGCTACCGCGCATTTCCACACAAAACGCTCGGTCACACCAAAGTTCGCAACTGGCACTGCGCTAATTCGAAAACTAGCCCGAAAACAGTAGCTGAAATTTTATCAGAAAATATAAATCACATAGAAATTCGTACACCTAAATTGAGTTTAGATTTACAATTGCGTCACGACTCTGGGCATTTCAAAGACATTTGTAGCGAAGTAGATATTTCGCTTACTGAAGCTTTGCAAGGGTGTTCTATATGCACGTGTGGTCTTAATTCAGCTTGGAGGTGAACTATCCTGCATGCAGATATGACAAATACTCAATTTTATCGCACACTCAAAAGGGGGTGCACCTTGCAGATGTCATAATTCTCTTCCGGCCTTCTTTAAATTTGCATTTTTTTTCAAAGAGGGAGCATCTTCTGGAAAAACGACTGAGCTTCATGCGAAAAACTTATGATCATGCACCTAGAGGTCGGCGCGGTCTCGCAATGCAACACTTTCATCCCAACCGGCTCCCTTTCCCCTTGCTTGCCGGAAGAGGCCAAAATACAGCTAGTATGAGTCCAAGTGTTAGCCTATAGCGCAGGAACCATTCCTGCTGTTAGCAATCTGCAAGTTTAGCACAAAAACGCATGATCGCACCGGCAAGCCTGGTGTGTTGCAACCTGGGTTACATTTGCATAAATGTGCAAAACGCCTGAAAATGAAACTGTCGGCTGACGGTAGAAATCCGCCAGCCGGTAAACTATTTCAAATTAACGGCCTCATGAAATTACTATGGACGAGAGTTAAAGCGTAAGATGAACATTCAGACCTTTTAGTTCTCAGGTCTATACATGCACAAGACATTTTGGCTGGAAAACTATTTCGGGAACCAGACAGGTTAGAAGCTGAAATCGTACACCTAAAATGAGTACCGATTTGCACTTGGGCCAAGACTTAGCACTTCAAAGATATTTGTAGCGAAGTAGATATTTCGCTTGTCGGACAAGCTGCGACGCTGAAAATTCGCCAGGGTGTTCTACTTTCAAGTGCGGTCTTAATTCTGCTTGAAGGTGAAATTCCCTGCAGGTGGGCATGAGAAATACTCAATTTTAACGAAAAATCAGAAAGAGTGCATTTTGTAGCGAAAGACCGCCCTCATTCAAATATATAAATGAACATTCAGTTCGTTTGCATACCTGGATTTTTTGACGAACGACCGCTCTAGCAACATTTCCAATTTTTAGTGGACTAGAAATTTGCATTTTTTCAAAAAGCGAGCATTTACCGAAAAAACGCCCGCGCTTCATGCAAAAAACTGGTAATCATGATGTATCCGAAGGCCCATGCGGTCCTATAGTGTAACACTTTCATCCCAACTGACGCCCTTTCTCCTGCATGCCAGAAGAGGCCAGAACGTGGCCAACATGAGCCCAAATGTTAGGCTACAGCGCAGGGATCACTCCTTCTGAAGAGGGCGGTCGCGTAAAAATCAAAAAAATTGCAAGGAAGAAGAAATTCAAAATATTTTATTACTGCAAAAATTCAAATGCAGACAATAAATCATTATCTGCATTTGATATAACGATAACGGTAAAAAGCTGCAAAACAAACAAATAAATCAGCTCAGCTGGACTGCACGTGGACATTCCCCTCCCCTCTAAAAGGCGGGTCGAATG